ACACTTCTTAAAGTTACCCAAGTTTGAGAAACACTGGGGTAGAATCCTTCCTTCCATCTTCTCCATAAGACAGTTTACTAAAACCGGCTTTTGCGTCGATGCGGGTTACATCACACCTCATGGTATATCTTCACTCCTAGCTCTTGCCCACCCTAATTTATTTTAATCCAGTATCACTTGACTCACCTCATGGGATAGGAGCGGAAAGGCGCATTTTTGTAGGTGTACTGTGTCAACCACCACTGGACAGTCATGTTCCAACAACGAATGCCGTCTTTCACCTTCACACAAAATTCTGTACCATACGGATCAATATTTCTGATTGTCTCATAATCATAGGCCACAATGGGTGCTTCCCCATCAGCTGATCTCCTTGTAAAAGAAGAGAAAGAAAATCCTTTTTGATTTTTTTTACCTCTGGAATTGGCTAGAGATATGCATTCTACATGGGGCTGACCAGAAAGACTGCCTGAAATGTTCAGTTAGTACATAAATGAAGAGAGATGTCATCTGATTTGAACAGCTCATCTTCTGGATAGGAAAAGGGTGCAGATCTCTTATATTAATATCTGCATTCTTATAGTCCATTACCCACAATCATCCGAACCAGGAAGAACCATATGCATCCATAGAGCAGGAATGCTATCTCCTTCCCATAAATAATGCTTTTCTAAATTTAGGGTTCATTCACACAACCCCCTAACTGCACTATGAAGATATCTTAGGCATCTAAAGCACAGCGACACGTCCTCATGATTCAGTCTTTCTCATGAAACCCCCAACCCATTGCTCAGGCTGCTTAACTTTAACCCAATGCTCTTCCAACATTGCCCCCACGCAGATCAAGTCCTGTCCACTGGTTAAACCCATGGGTGTAGCCATCTGTACCAAAACTCATATCCAGCTCCAGCCCAAATTAAGAAGAGTGACTGGTGGGTTTTTTTCCCTGCCTGCACAAAGTCCACCACCGAATGTGGGACAGGTTAAGGAAAGTGAACTAGTTAAGGAAAATATATTAGGACATCCCCATTCGCTGGTTTTGTTATCAGGCAGAATAAAAATCAGCTGATGGGACAGGACAAATTATACTCATTCTTTTGTGCCATTAAATTAGCTGCCAGAATGGATCCCTAGTCCACTCCATACTGGAAAGGTAATTATCTTAGACAAGGAAGAGAGCGGGTTCTAGACTCACAGGGTTAGAGATTCATATTCCACAGTGGGTCCTCTGCCTGGTCGTGAATTGGCCCTGGTTGGATACGCACCAAGGCCAGCAGTAATGCAGGCACTCTCAGCGCCATACCAGGTCATGTAGTTGCGTATGCGGAATACAAAGGAGACGGGCATCAT